ACCGTTAAAACAGACATCAAAGGCAGTCGGACCGTAAAGTTTGGAGGGCTTCTCTCAGCTTTCGCACAGCTCGTTCAACCACCCCATTCGCTTCATGATCTTGCGGCGCGGCCTTTCGCACCTGGAACACAAATTCGCCTGATGCTCCAGCCACCAGATCGGAAACAGACTCTTCAGCGTCTGTCACAAGAACAATCGACGTGCAACCAGATTCGAGCCCAACTTCCCTCAGCCATCTCACTATGTCTGTTCTGGTCTGAGCTACATTAGGCCCCGCCACAATCGCACCCACCATGGACGACATGCGTTCTGACAAGACAAGCACTCGAATGTTATCTGCTCTCACAGATCTCACGTTCTCTCCCGCAGCTGACATGAAGAATCTGCAAAGACCCCTGCTTCCAACCTTGCTTTCGTCTTCTGTGCTCGCCGAACGCGACACCTGGCAGTGCCGACATGAGGGTACGGAACGTGGCCCTGTGGCCAACTCTCCCTCAGTGGACCGTTTGTTTTAAGGGTGCAACAACAGAAATGCTGCCTCCTGGGGAACTTCCCCCTTCACTTCACACAGCACTTTAGATCCCTGCACAGGCTTCAGACGCAAGCAAGGCACATTCGCAAACAAGGTCAAGTCAGTAGCACTCTGGCCTTTCTCTGTCCACAAATGGATTTTTTCAGGACCCTGCTGAAAATGCCAGCCCTTGCAACACAGCGACGTGGTAGACAATATGTTATGCTTCATGTTCCCGACTAGCACTGGCATGGTGGCCTTCGAGTAGCGACACTCGCCAAGCGGATCTTCAAGCTCTATCAGCACGTCAAGTTTGCAAGCTCTGTGCATGACAACTGGCGTGCCATTTGCCGAGGAAAACTGCTGCTCAGCAAACGTGGCGTTCGTTTGTTCCATGTTCACACCAAAATACTCTGCATGTTGCTCACTCAAAACAGTGACACTTGCACAATTGTCCAACAACCACCACTCTGCATGCTCCCCGTCGTGTATGCCATGCACAAACAAGGGTTTCACATGACTGCCAAGACACAGCTCACACCCAGAAACATGACTGTCTTCACTGTTGTGGCATTCACGCGCAAGAGCAGGACTGCTTTCAGTACACTCACACGCAAAAACATGGCTGTCTTCATCCAGCAGTAAGGCGCTCAGCTGAAGATTCTCTGTCTCCTGAGTCGCCCCCGTCTGGGACCACTCTCCAGAACCCCATCCTTGTTCCCAGGTCTCCCCCCAGCCTTCAGCTCCCCACCAGTCTTCTCCTCCCCATTCCTCAATCCCTGGCGAAAACTCCTGTTGACCCTCGGCAGAGCCCTCAAACATCTTTCCTTTCTTGCCTTTCTTTCCTTTGCCTTTTCCTTTTGATGTGGTCTTTCCCTTGCTCCCAGGGCCTTTTGCTCCCTTTTCGCCTTTTGATCCTTTTGAGGAGGAACCTTTAGGGGAACCTTTTGAGGGACCTTTACTTGAGGATTTTGGGCATCGCGCACTAATGTGTCCATGTTCCCCGTATGCAAAACACTTGACTTTGGCCAAATCAGTTGTGCACTCTTCATGTGTGTGTGTCCTTTTCTTCCACACCTGTTGCATCGCTCTTTGTTGTTTACTGCATTGACCTCATACCATGGCGTGACAAACTCTCCATCTTGGTCCGTGCATGCCATAGAAAACACATCAGGAGAACCCGCAACAGAACTCGCAGCGTACAACTCATGCACTGGTTTCGCTTTACCGCCTAGGTTCAAATCCAGAAACAGTCTCTGCTGTCTTTCAAAACTTCAAAACTGCTAGCCTACACGCGCCATACGACTCACCAGAACTGTGATGAAGTACATACTGTTTTGCCTCTTCAGGCAGGCTTCTGAGCAAAATGACCATCATGTCCCCATCTCCTATCGCGAGACCATGCCGATCCAAATGGGATGGAAGGGTTCTTAACAGTTTCGTGTACCGTGCAACTTCAAGGTCTGCTTTCCGGATAATATCCCCAACACGCATCGCAGGCGTGGACTCTGCACTCCGCATGGCAAAAATACGGTTCAGCAGTTCAGATCGCATTGACAGGGCCTCTGCACGAGACCGAAGAGAGAACTGCTGAGCAAGCTGCCGCAGCGGCTCAAAGCCCACAAGTCGTGTTCGACATCATACGAATGCTCACACCTTCCGCGCCATCCAAGGACAATCCCTCACAGAACGCCTGGATCATCAAACTGACCCTCGGGTGCTCCAGAAAAGCCGCTTTGAGAATTCCCAACAGGCGCACAGAACGAATCTTCTGGTCACTATTCAACGTATGCTGCAAGATAGTTTCAGGCCATCGCACAGACATGCCAATCTCTTCAGAGAACTCTAAGCTTCCCATGGCTGCCCAAGCTTGCAAGCTCACCACATAGTCTGCAAGCTCTTTTGAGACCCATTTGCTTACCTCCGGCACTGGAGGTTGCCCTAACTTGTCTGCTCGGGAGAACACATCCCTACTTTCATAGGGCGTGAAAGGCGGTCTACAAGCACCTTGTGGCACATCCTGAGCAGGAAGGGGCAAACCACTTGGCACACTTGGGATGAACGTGTTCGTTCCCAGGTCAGGCGTCTGACCAAAAGACTCAGGTACTCCACGCACCTGTCGATTCACCTGCTCCCATAGTGCCGTTTGCACAGCTTGGGCCTGAAGAGGGGTCAACTTTCCGATGACCTCCTGCAACTGACGCACTGTCGCATCCACCACATTCTGCCCTTGCACTTGCGGCACATACTGTGGAGGCATGACAACCTCCCGACAGGGCATGGGGGGGCATGGAACCTCCCGGCAAGGCATTCTGTGGTAGCTGTTGCTGAAACACAGCACTCTGCATGCCGTGCATTTGCCCATTTGTCTGCTGCTGCACTGGGTTCTGCGCAGGCCTTCCCATGTCACTAAGCGACGAGATATCACTCACAGGCACCTGGTGCGCATTGCTTCCTCTCTGTTTTCGGAGGTACTCTGCGCAAGCATCCAGCTGTCCAGCGCTCACTCCCGCACTCCCCTGCCTAGCATCACGAGCATCCCCTCTTTCCAACGCTCCCGGCGAAGACTCTAAAGGGCTTGGTTGCACGCTGGCCAAGGCGGAGATAGGGAGCCAAGCTTCGCTACCATGTAAAAACTCCTAACTATGAACCTGGACTGATTGACTGTCACTTTTGCTCCACGCAAGCAACGACAGAGGTGCCTAAAGCTTCACAGCTTCTTGTCTGAGCTTCTTTGTTCTTTGCACACGCTCTTGAGCCTTGAGCCAAAAGCAAAACGAAACTGGCGTCAAAAACAACTCTCGCTATGAGAGCTGCACTTGATCTGAAGAAGACCCCTGGTCAGGGTGGACCATTGCGATCATGTTGGGCAATCATACTATCATGAGCACATAACGCCTTGCACAGATTTTTGGTGCCACTCGTAGTGTTGACATGTGTTGACCCTTCCAAGAAAACATCAACCTTGAAACTCTATGCAAAATGTCGCCCAAACTGCTTACCCATTTTGCCCTAACCCCACTCTGAACTCTAGACGTCTCTAGACCGTACTTGCAGGTCTTTTGGATCATCCTCGAGGACGCCCGGCCTTATTACCTATCAGCCATCCTGAGCATTCTAAGTGTGTTAACTGTTGCCCGTTTGGATGGCTTGGCAACAAACATCCAAAAGTGGTAAAATATCGCCGAATCAGACCCCAAAGCAACTGTAAAACGAAGTCACATAGCGCTAAAGATCTCAACCTGTCGCCACGGGCCTCTTTTTCGCGGAGCTTCTCCGCGTCGAACTGTTCCTCGAGTGGGCAGTGACTTTTCTTGTTGATACTGATCGTAGCCGGGAAAGTATGGGTTCAGCTTGGGGTATGACAAAGTTTGGAGCCTCACAAGTTCCTACACACTCTGACTTGCAAATGCCTTCACACTGGTCGATCGATCTTGGGTCAAAGAAGTGGTTGGCAGAAGCCCGTCGAGCTTTTGAGGCAGAGTTCATGTATAGGCCCTGTGGGCAAGGATGCCTGTCACCCCCCCAACCGCTGTGTAGAGTCTCTGGTGGCCCGTGTACCCTGTCCGTGAAGCCAGGAACCCTGGTTCAACCCCAAACCCTCCTAAACCCTCCCAAACCCTTGCACATCAGATGCAAAGACGGTTTGCCTCACACTTTGCAGCAGTTGTGCTAAAAAGTCGCTTCAGCCAGTCAAACCTTACAATCAAAACCCAGATATATTGCTGCCACCTGCACCGATTTTGATGCCAAGCCGCAGCCATGCAGCTACACCTCCTGTGTATCCAGCCCCGGCCTCGGCACTGTGCTCTCAACTTGATAGGAATAGCTTCACGTTCATGCGCAGTTGCTCTTTTACGAAGCGACCATGCTCCACAGCATTATTTCTCTTCAGGACCGGGCGCATAAGCGAGCTGTCCTTTGAGTGGTACGCGGCACTTGTCATTCTTCTCCTGTCAGGCCTCCAGCGTTGCATTACAGCATGCTCCAGATTTGTCATTGGTGCAAGAATGCCGATCTCAATTGCCAGTCTGCCTCGTTCACTGCTGCGTCAGCACCGGCCGGCTGAAGGAGAAGGCTACGAACCCTTGGGGCAGGGAGGTCAGGATTCGAGGATGGAGCGTCAAGTATGAAGCCTGCATCCCCCGCTCAAATGCAGCTTATAAGCTCCCATGAAAGCGGATAGCAACAAGGTGTACTAGGGCCGTGTGGCCGGCGTCAGAGGCACCGTGCGCCCTGCAGTTGGATCTAGGACCACAGGGTGCTCTCGGTGTGTTGCGACCTCGACATATTGTAGGAGTCTATGTGATAGAGTTAGCCACGTATTGTCAAACGAAGTACTGAGGATCGGAATGTTTTTCAAACGCTTAAGTAGGTTTTTTCGTCTCGACGGGTTCAGGGTCTGTATCTTTCAGCCCGAGAAAACATTTGAACTCGATTGGAACTTGGAGCCATCCAGAACCCGGAGATTGAACCTCCCTGCCTCAAGGTGGCATCGGCCTGGTTCTTTCGCGGTCAGGCCCTCGCAACTGTTGAACTGTTGCAGGCCAACCCTGTAGAATCCTCCATCCACCCTCCATCCACGGCAAAAGAGGTTGTTGGCGTTCTGGGTTCATTATTCCGCCTTTAGGGCGTTCGAGTAGAGTGTAGGGTGTGCTCCTAACCCAAGAGTCAGCGCTTGGACTGGATCGGGCGAACATAGCAATTAAGACCAAACGTCTGCAAACACCAAAAGCTACTTAAGCCTCAGCTCATAGCTTGAGCATCTGGTAACGTTCCACACATTGAACCCAGGAGCCGTGGTCACAGAAGCGATCTTTTTGCAACGAGTTGTCCAGGCTTTTGGTTGGCTTCCAGGGTTTACGGCAGGTGAGTCGATAGTTTTCTGCCATACGGGTTCGGGGCTGCATGGGGTGTGAAGCCGAAGTGCGGCGACGAACCACAAAAGAACCACAAATTGGCATCGCTTTCTGTTTGTTAAGTATAGTGCTCGCCAGTTCTTGCGGTTGACACGTTTAGGGTTAAGTATTTGGGGGTCCGAGTTGCAAACTATTGATTTTCAGCGGTGTGAAGTGAGACCTGATCCTACTGGGCCCGCTGCAGAACAAACGTTATCCTGCAGGCAGGATCTGTGCAAACACAGGCAGCTGTCGACAAAAACGCTATCCTCGAGCAACTATTGATTTTCATGGGTAGTACGCCTCGTAGCTGAAGCTGGCGGGACTTGTGGCCAGCAGGCACAACCTGAATACCTGAATAAGGGCTTGTCTTTGTCTTTGCACCTGTATGTTTGGCCGCGGTGTATTGGGAATTCAAGCGCAATCTCCACCCCAAACACAGGCAGCTGACTCCGAGCCGTCCGCAGAAACGGGAGAGGTCCGACTTTCGGCTTCGGGCGGTTGGGAATTGCAAGTCTGGCGCTGGGGTTAAAGGCCATAGGTGTGGTTTCTGTTTAACGGCGCGAAGCCAGCCGGGCCCACTTGTAATAAGTGCTATGGGCCATGGGCGGAAGTGCAAACTACTAGGTGCATGTACATGGACCATGGTGCGGCGCAGGAAGGTCGCCCGAGCTTACATCTTGCGCGTGAACTTCTTGCAGACATTGATTTGCCTGGGAAGTATGCGCGCTTCACGCAATGAAGGTGTAGACATGCTCCCAGACCAAAAAACTGATTTAAAACCCTACACATGAAGCCCAAACAACAACCCCACACACTAATTACATCCCAAGCTTGAAGCTTTAGACGCGTAGAGGTTTAGGTTCAAGCGCTCCAGCTGGTCGAACCTTAACTCCAGCAGTCGCAGCCACAAGATGTTTTGCAGGAGAGCGAGCTGCCGGCGGCAACGGAGGCTTCTTTTTGTGCAGGGTAGACGGAATTCAATCAGGCCCCGCCAAACTCCAGGCCGCGTATGAAGTCAATGAGATTATACAGCGTCCCCCGTTTCATTTTCCTGGTTTGAATAAACCCGCTTCGCCGCAAGCTTGCTATGTCGATGTCGTTGACTTGAGCTTTGTGTTACGCAGCCTCAAAGCTACTTGAGCAGCGTTCAAAAATAGCGCTAATGGAATCTGTGCTTGGTACGGAAATCTGCCGTGTGGTCGCTGGCGAAACGTGCTCCAAACCTAGCGCGCGGAAGCTCGCGGAAGCCTTGCGGAAGCAATTCGCTCGCGGAAGCTCTTGCGGAAGTATCTTGTGCTTTATGTCATGTAGCATCGTGTCAACCACCCTGCGAACAAGGTGTACAGGCTCCGGATAGGGCTTGAAGGTGCATTCATGTGGCTAGCCTAAGCCCCCTAGTTGAAGGGTTGGGAATCGTGCTTGGGGTATGTTTTGGGCTGGAAACGCTTCGAGCACTGAAGGGGGGTTGGGAATCGTGATTTGGGTATGTTTTACTGAACCGCATGGCAGAACAGGGCCAACAAAAGAGAGATGAACACCGAACAAGGGGTCTTGGGGCATTTCATTGCCAGATCAAGCCCAAACTCAGGGTTTTAGGGAGTTTGGGGCATGTCAGAGGTTTTCGCGCCGAAAAAGAGGGTTTGGGGCACTTCAGGCTCAAATCCAGCATATGTCCAGGATTTCGAGCCCAGAGATGGGACTTGTGGTGTTTTCGGCCATTTGGGGCCTTCTCCGACTGTGGTGTCAGAGCCGCTTGGGTTTCGGATCTCCCCACGTTGGGTGTCTCGAGCTGGAAACGCTGACCCCAACCCCCCCTTGGGGTATGTTTGGGCTGGAAACGCTGATCCCCCCTTTCGAGCCCGGGAATGTGATTGGCTGGAAAAGGTGATCCTAACCCGATTGGCTGGAAAAGGTGATCCTAACCCCCCGTTTTCGAGCCCCGATGGGGGGGTTGGGAATCGTGATTTGGGTATGTTTTGCCCAAGCCCATGTCTATCCGTTTCAGCTCGTAGAGGTTCCCCATTGATAAACCGTGAACCCTCAACAACAGACTCCAGTCCGGATTGGACGCCCTTTCCTCTTACATCCCCTCTTGCGGAAGCCTCGTGGAAGCGATAAGGGAAAAATCTTCGCGGAAGGGTCCGCGAAAGCAAACCGTAAGCCTAAGCCGACAATTTAGAACACGGCTCACTTGGGGCTGGACAGACGACGCTTGTGGTAAGTAGGAACAAGTTCCTTCCCTAATCGAGCAATTGATGCTCATCATGCTGGCCTTGTCGGGGTGGACTGCAGCATTTTGATACGCCTCGGTAGGCTCTAGGAAGGTGGACTGCTGGCTTTGAAGGGGCACCATTGCAGGCGGTCTTTCTTGTTTCAGTTGTTGGCCGCTGGGCCTGCAGTTTCGAATTCAGTGCAGCTGAAACTGTTTTCGCTCCTTCTGGCCTCGAGCTTCAAGGTCGTGCTTTCGGATTGAGAGGTCTGGGCGCGGTTGCGAGGTTAGGCTGTTGCATCTGGGCCTTCAATCTCAGGCTTCTAAGCCTGTATGAGGTATCGTTTAGTGATGTGCTCGCTGGGAGGAAGGCTCTCCACCGAGGAGAGCGGCTCTCAAGCAAGACTTGGTCGGTGACTGAGAGAGTGACACTCATTTTCTGGAGAACCTGCAAGGCCCGCTGCTTCCCCCCCTCCCCAACCTTGCTGCATTGCAGGGGGCCCCAAGTGCAGACGAAGCTCGCGCACAATCAGGTCGGTCTCAAAGCCGTAGAGATTCACAGCGACCAAACTGGCGTGTACGCCCTGGAGGCGCTCATGATTTTCTAAGGGCTGAGGTAAACAAGGTTTTGAGCCCGTCTTTAACATGATTGGAGAATTTTCTTTGCAGTTCCGGAGCCCTTGCCTGCTCACTCCTCCAGCCGGCTCGCTCCCAGGACGACCAGCACCGCCGGGTCGCCGCGTTTAAGCCAGCCAGGTCCTCGATTCGGGACCGTCGGGCAGTTCTGATCCTATGAGCCTTAAGTTCGCAGGGTTAATTACTTTGGCAAGGGTACCGCGCAAAATTCAAGCGCTGGCAGGGGTAGGCAGAAGTCAGTAAATGTATGTTATCACTAAAGCTAAAGCATGTTCATTTGTCTGCTGTTTTGAAGTATTTCCAGATTCAGTCCAGCATTGCAGTCCAGCATTTCCAAACCTACATTTGACGAGTCTTTCGGATGAGGGCCTCGGGCCTGGATGAGCCGGGTGATTGTTTTGAAAACGAATAAATTTCCTACTGATTTGAGGCTTTTGGTCCAGGGTGAGCCCTGATGGCAGCGGTGGGGGCGATGAGGGCCTCGGGCCTGGATGAGCCGAGTGGCTGTTTTGAAAACGTGGTCCAGGGTGAGCCCTGATGGCAGCGGGCCTGGATGAGCCGAGTGGCTGTTTTGAAAACGAATAAATTTCCTACTGATTGGAAGCTTTTGGGTCAGGGTGAGCCCTGATGGCAGCGGTGGGGGAGATGAGGGGCTCGGGTCGGATGAGAGTGGCGAATAAATTTCCTACTGATTTGAGGCTTTTGGTCAAGGAGAGCCCTGATGGTAGCTGATGGCAGCGGTGGGGATGAGGGCCTCGGACCGGACGAGAGTGGCTGTTTTGAAAATTTGGGCCAGGGTGAGCCCTGATGGCAGCGGTGGGTGGCAGCGGTGGAGGAAAGGTCCGACAAAGAAGGCACAAGGTACAAGGAGCTGTCGGTGAATTCGCCGACCCAGGGGGTCGGCGGATTTTGCAGTTAGTTTTGTATAAAGACCTTACAAAATCTACTGTGTTCTATAGATTTGGTTCTTCCGTAAGGACCCTACAACGTGAAAATCAGGGTTTATGCAAGGACTCTACGAAACAGAAGGGTTGGTAGTTTAAGATACAGTGTTGTGGGTTTATGATTTTGGGCTTAGGCTTCAGCATTTGAGGTTGAGGGTTTAGGCTCAAGGTTTAGGATTTGGGGTTTAGGGCACAAGTTCCGCAGCCTTTGAGCCAGATCCATGCGGAACCTCGCTGACCCCTAAATGTGCTTCGGCTGCCCGCTGCTAGCTGAAAATGAGCCACACACTGCAAATCCTTTCCAATCGCCAGCAGGGGCAGGCCGACGTGTCTGCAATATCCGCAAGTCACTAGAAAGCCATTGCAGCGCAGCGTGCGGCTTCTCCCAATGCCACTGTGGATCTCGAGCCAACATGCCTTAGCTCAGCCTGGTAAACCGCCCAAAGAACAAGGCAAGGTATGCAGACAAAATGTCAATCAGCCAGGTGAAGCTTTGAACTTCCTTCCTGGTTTCTGTTCCTACCTGGGGAATATGTTTGTTGTTGGGCTCATGCTCACCAAGCCGTGTGGACCTTTCCTACCGCCCCAAAGGCCTTAGACATCCCATATCGATCGCTTGCGTGCAAACATCTGTGGCCGAGGCTTCCGGAGAAAACTTCAGGCGCCAAGGACTGAGTAGGTCCTGGCGCAGGCGCCCTGAGTTTGCTATCAAACGTAGAGCGCAGTGGCATGTCTTTTGCTGGAATTCGACACCCGCAAGCGCGAACAGTCCTGGAGCCATTTCGCGCGGCAGGAGCACTCAGAGAACAGGCTGTGTACATCGTTGATCGCCTCTCAGGTTCGCAGGCGGGAGCCGTGTGGTCTCTAGGAGGTTGCGTGCGAAGGGCCGGCAGAGGTTTAATGTGGAATCATGGTTGGTAAGATATTCCCTTAATGAAAAGTTTCCGGGAAATTATTCAGTTCTGGAGAATGCACTCTTACTCCTCAATAGTAAAGAGTTTTCTTGGGGACCACGGCTGCAGGTCGCATGAGGACGGGTGTTTGGGCCTGTCGGGGACGTACGTGGCTTCCAGTGGCGACATGGGTATCATGAAGCGCAAGCAATGCAGCAGAGGTGGAGCAGTGTGCAGCACGGATGGTGCTGGTGGTTTCGGGCTTCGGCAAGAAGGGCTTATGTGTTGGACAGACTACAGTGAGTCCAAGATCTGTCGGTGCATGAACAACCCTCGTGTGCGGAGTCCCGTGATTCAGCACATCAAGGAGGAACTAGAGAGGGACAGTCTGAACATGGACCGCTCTGATACAGCCATCAATCAAGGCGTGGACAAGTATTGTTCATGAGAGCGGACAGTGGATCTCGCCACAAGAAGGCTTGCTTTCAGGCGCAGCAGACAGCTGTATAAATTCTACAAGGTCGTTGTTGCGGATCTGCGTCGCGAAGCACAATCGATAAAACCGGCGTTTCCAGCTCGTGATGTTCATTGACATTAGGGCCATCACGGGCTGTTAGGCAGCCCCATGCAGTTGGAGAGCAGTCTACTAGCCCAAGCTACCCAGAAGTGGAGCGCTTGCGAAATCTTGTGGGGAACCGGTCTGGCTATGAGTCTATCTGCGACTATCTGAGTTGAGGTTCCTTTTCTAATCCGGTTTTTCCCTTCACGAACAAATTGACTAGCTACCGTTCAGTCAGGGGACGTTTCTATTGCTGTGAGATTGTTGGAATTATCGTCGACCAGCACATGTGCTGCACGGTCTCAGACCGCAAAGTTGATGAGTTCTTGCCTACGTTTTCCTTTGACTTGTATGTTGTGTTTTCCATGTGCACACATTAATTTTGCCGATGCTTGCTTGGCCCAAACCTCTGCATTTTGAGCAAGCTCGAAACGACTCTGAATCGAGGATGGCTGGGGCACGTTGAACGACACAGCTTTGACAAAACGCGCTTTGAACAAAGCATGGCTCTCTTGTTGTATGGGTCAGGCGTTTGGTTTGCGTGTGACATAGCCCTGCAGCGCCGAAGCCGACGCGCGGGCCATGGACAGTTTCCTGCTTGGGCCACTGTGGCACTCGAGGTTGTCAGACACCTCAACGAAAGAGGCCAAGTTTTGTTGTGTCTGTTGCGGGTCCAATGGGAGGTGGGTGCGAGTGTGAGTGTCGGGATGGGAGGTGGGTGTGAGTTTGGGGGCTGGGAGTGCGGGGTGGGTGTGAGTGTGGGGCAGTGTGGGGCAGTGTGGGGTGTGGCTGGTGGGGTGCGGATGGTGGGGTGCGGGGTGGGATAGAAGGTTTAGGACTGTCGGGCCTCGTCCCTAGCCTTTCGCCTGCTTCGTAGGACTGTTGCCAGCGGGGGCAGCCTCGCCTTTCCCCACTTCGCACGTTGTCGTCCTCCCGATGTAACAGGGCACCTCACACCTGTTTCTCCGTGTGTTGGAGTGATGGGTACCCTGTGTTCCCGAGTAGGTTCAGGGTTTGTAAAGGCGGTTTCTTCAAAATCCAAAAGACCGTGCAAGAATGCAGTTCGATGAATGTCCTCCTCTTCAACAAAAATAACATGAGATCGTTGGCAAACCTGCGCTTTGACAGTTTTGTGTTTTTCGTTGAGCAAGACCTGGAATCATGCATTTTCAGTCGAAACGCCTCACCCCTTCCAAGCGCATCACCCCCCCGAGAAGCAAAACCTGGAATCATGCATTCTCAGTCGAAACGCCTCACCCCTTCCAAGCACATCACCCCTCGATAAGCAAGACCTGGAATCATGCATTTTCAGCCGAAACGCCTCACCCCTTCCAAGGACATCGCCCCCCCGATAAGCAAACCTTGGAATCATGCATTCTCAGTCGAAACGCCTCACCCCTTCCAAGCACATCACCCCTCGATAAGCAAGACCTGGAATCATGCATTTTCAGTCGAAACGCTTCTCCCTTCCAAGCACATCACCCCCCGATAAGCAAGACCTGGAATCATGCATTTCAGTCGAAACGCCTCACCCCTTCCCAAGCACATCCACACCCCCCCCCCTCCCCCCGATGGAATCATGCATTTTCAGTCGAAGCGCCTCATTCCTTCCAAGCACACCGCCCCCCGATAAGCAAAACCTTGAATCATGCATTTTCAGCCGAAACGCTTCACCCCTTCCATGGACGGCCGCCATGTCCTCACAGTCTTGCACGGCCGTTTTTAACACCACGTCAGCGCGACAGCCCAGGCTCAAGCTTGACGGCGGCTTCGGAGGGCCCTTCGGAGCGCCCTTCGAAACGAAGTGTCTTAGCAAAAGTTAATTCTCAAGGATTTGGAAGATAGAAAACTTTTCCAGGCCACATCCCTAAAGTTGGACAATATAAGAAGTGAAAAGATGTCCAAAAGAAGGATAATAAGACTTCATATTTTTTAGTGAATTCTCTTAATGAATCTGTAGACCAAGTATGAAAACCATAAATTGATCCAAATGAAACATGATGAAATACAAGAAAATAATTTATAAGAAGGGAATTCCAGTCCAACAATAAATATTAAATCCTGTAAAGATAAATAGAATTATAATTGGACGTAGAAACAGGTAGAAAACGAGCACGCGATTGCATCTGCACTGATACAGGTGGAACGTTTGTTGTTTATGGAATATTCTTCAGAAACAAAATCGAGTCAAATAGAGACCATCGCCCCAACAAAGGTGCAGCGAAGAAATCGACAATCTCCACTTCCAGAGAGAGGCGCAAACCAAAACATAGCAGCTTCCAATACCACGAATGGTTGATGCCCATTGAAACTGAAACGGTTCGGGAAGCTTTAACCTGTTGCGGACCACTGGCTATCAAGACCTCATATGTGAGATGCATCTAAGACCTTCCAGTGCGTTTGTGACCAAAGTTGTGCAAGAATTGCAGCAAATCCGTGAGGGTCCTGAGGAAGAAGCAATGCCAGACAGCAGGCGAAGAACGAAACACACAAAAGTCCCAAAGTAAAGAAGCAAACTCAGACAGGAACCAAAAACGTCAGGATGACAGAAATGAAGCGAATACCTAGCAACACAAAGAGAACACAAGGGCGCCAAGAAGCAGGCTCGTGCCGAGGGAACGTATGGAGCCGAAAGGGCGGAAAAGTGTAGGTCACAAATTGTATTGGAGCGAACGATTGGACAGCCAACAGGGTATAGCAGGGTGCCCTATGCGGCCGTACCCAAATAGTTTCGACGAGCTTGTGATGATTAGGTGAGAAAGGTTGGACTTGGACACGGCTTCGAGCTTCAGCTTCAGAATCACTTGACTCACATGACACGATAATTTGCAGGGATTTTGGGTTTTGTTCGTTCGCACTTGGAAAAGTTGCAGTTTGCAGTTTTTACATTTCTGAAAAGTTGCTGACAGGCAATGTTTGGATCAAGTCTTGTTTGTTGTGCTCGTGGTTGTGGAATAAGACGGTTTGACATTATGCGAAGAGCACGGCCCGGCGCTTCTAAATGTGTCAAGGGGTTTCATCAAGCTTTCATCAAGAGGTGCTTTGTGTTTTGATAATGTTTAAAATACAATTCTGAACGAGTCAGTGGGGAGGTGGTATCCCATGAATGGCGGCATATCAGTATGGCAGTTCGGGTGTGCAAAGCTGCGCTTTTATGGAATGTGCGCCGCTGAAATGTTACCAAGCTTGTTTATGTCTTGCACACTGTCCGAGAAACTGCACAAACATACCTTTCCCACAGGTCCGCCGCTGTCCATGAAGTTCCGACAATTGTTTGGCATTCATCTGTTGTTTGCAGGTCCGTTTTCTTTGCTCACAGTGGTAGAGCAACACATGGGCAATTGGCACAATGTGCATCCTTACCTGGACATATTGACGTCAAAGCCTCCTGTGCAAAGGCCTTTTCTTGCAGCCGTTTGAGTCGTCAGGTTCATTTGGGCAGAGACAGCATGGCGGGCAGAGCCAGGCTTTGACTCATGCAGAGGTTGTTCACGTCGTTTGGAGACCCCAGCCTCGATTTCGAGATTTCTAGATTCCCAAAAGGAGTTCTTGTGGGGCATGTTTTGGTGCTGGTGGTGTGGAGCTTCATTTACATGAGCTGAGCTGTACGACAGAGATGCTGATGATGCCACGACAGCATCGTGGTCATTGGAACTGGACGCACAAGCTTTTGTTGACTGGGTGATCATTGAAGGGACGCTTGTGTTCTCCGTCATGTTGATTGAAATTAGGGCCATCACAGGCTGTTAGGCAGCTCCCATGCAGTTGGAGAGCAGTCTGCTATCCCAAGCTACCCAGAAGTGGGGCCGTTGCGAAATCCTGTGGGGAACCGGTCTGGCTATGAGTCTATCTGCGACTATCTGAGTTGAGGTTCCTTTTCCAATCCGGTTTTACTCTTCACGAACTAATTGACTAGCTACGGTTCAGTCAGGGGACGTTTCTGTTGCTGTGAGATTGTTGGAATTATCGTCGACCACCACATGTGCTGCGCGGTCTCAGACAGCAAGGTTGATGAGTTCTTGCCCATGTCTTCCTTTGATTTGTGTGTTGTGTTTTCCATGTGCACACATTAATTTTGCCGATGCTTGCTTGGCCCAAACCTCTGCATTTTGAGCAAGCTCGGAACGACTCTGAATCTAGGATGGCTGAGGCACGTTGAACGACACAGCTTTGACAAAATGCGCTTTCAACAAAGCACGGCTCTCCTATTGTATGGGTCAGGCGTTTGGGTTGCCTGTGACATAACCCTGCAGCGCCGAAGTCAGCGATACTGCGCGCATCCGTGCGCAGCGTGACGCGCGGGCCAATGGACAGTTTCCTGTCTCTCCTGGGCTATGCAGACATTGAGCAAAGTGAGCAGCCCAATCAAGTTCCATCTCACACCAAGGACCGGAGTGGCTAGGCGTGTAACAAGCATATGCTGATTGCATGTAGTCGAACTCAGTGCGGGTTGTGACATGTGCAGGATCTCGCTGACTTTCGCAAAGAGCTCCTGGGTGAGATCAAGGAATTGCTAGATGCACAGAAGGCTGAGATTTGCGACTTCATCAAGGCGATGCCACGTCGAACCGGACAGATAGCCCATGACAACCCTGAACCCTACAACTTCCGTCACACCGAGTAGCCATCGAGTATCCGAATGACAAACGCAGCGTTTGCCTGCAGACACTTCGGAAGCTGCCGCTGGGCGACGTCTCGTCGGAGTCGGACGCACAGCATGGCATCACAGGGCTTGTGGGGCTTGTGGAGGTACATTTTTTGTTTCCCCCGAGGTTGTCAGACACCTCAACGAAAGAGGCCAAGTTTTGTTGTGTTTGTCGCGGGTCCACCCCTGACCGCGGAAGGTGGACACCAGCCCCACCGACACGGACGACAGGGAGCCCGATCCCAACCTGATGCAAAAAGCTTGTGGCGCTAGCGACCAGGTGTGCTTTGTCATTCATACTTTTCATATCCGGCATGAGCGTCCGAGGCTCGCAGATGTAAACTGCGAGGAGGCCATGGGGAATGTGCGGCAAGTTTTGCCGGTGCTCGCATGTGCTCGCGTGACCCGCATGCCAGGTGACATCATGGGGCTTGCGTAGCTGGTGGTGGTGCCCTCCTTGCAAGATGGTTCAAGATGCTCGGCAACCGTCAGCTCGAAGTCTGTTTTGCTGCGCGTGAGGAGTTGTGATTCCAGCTGGACGCCGCTTTCCATGGACGGCCGCCCCTCACAGGTTTGCATGGCCGTTTTGGACGCCGGCCCAGGCTCAAGCTTGATCCCTTCGGAGCGCCCTTCGGAGCGCCCTTCGGAGCCCAAGGCAAGTCAGCAAACCTCAGCACAAAGTTGGATGACCAGCCAAAACTTGCGGTAGGTGCCAGGACTTCCTCCGCGTCCGCTACCCTCGTGCCTTGTCGGACAGAACACCCCTTGCCATCGCCTAATGTTGTCATAGGTCTTAGGGGTGTCTGAAATCGTCCTTTTGGTGTTCGTATTTATGGTCGCGTCTTTGTAGTGTCCTCCTTGTGTCCTCCTCGTGTCCTCCTAGTGTGCTCCTAGTGTCCTCCTAGTGTCCTCCTAGTGTCCTGCTGGGTGGTTCTTTCCTTCTTTCCTCAAACGCCTTCCTACAAGATAACGCTGGGAGGATGCAAGCGAAAGCTTTTCAGATGAGCAGAGGATGCTTGATTGCTGTTCCAGTTCCAGGTACCTGCGGCTTGAGATCTTGAAGTTTCTGCCAGCTCGCCACTCAGCACAGGGCAGCGCCGTGCAGCGCATGTAAAGATGGGGGCACTTCTTTGCACGCCCCGCCGGGCCGCCGGGTGGGGAGGGGGGGGGGGATGGGGGGAGGCAGAGGGAGGGAGGAGGGGCGCTCTCAGAGAGCGGCCTGGAAATGGCGGCTGGCCGATGCTGGCCTACTGCTTCATGCTTTGCCATTCTCAAGTCGTGCTTGTTTCACTGTTTCGCTTTGCTGTGACTTTGCTAGGTGAAAGAGGTCTGCAAAAGCCGCTCGGTGTCAAGCACCTTTGCTTTGCCCAAGGACGCGTGATGCTTGCAAGATGTTGCAAGTACTGTTCTCAGTACTGTTCTTCGAAATGTTTTTACATCGAGTGTCTCATTGGACCCATCTGGCTCGTCCATGCTCGACCATGCTCGACTGCTCGACCACTCCTTGCAGACTGAGAAGCCTTAGGAAGCCTTAAGCAGCCGGCTGAGTGGGGCTGAGTCAGGACCTGGTGGTTCACATGATTGACGTTGCGGACCTTGCAAGGCGGGCGTTGTAACAGGAGCACGAGAATCAGCTGTTTATCAGCTGTTCAGTCACCTTGTGGGATCCCACATGAATCCACTGGCAGTCTGCCTCGAATGAAAGCTTTGGGGTCATGTCAGCCGAAGAGCTCTGAGGATCTGGCGCTGGCGGACACTCGCTAAACCAGGATGCGCGTGACGGCGGCTATGGGTCGGAAGAAGACCCGCTGCTTGATTTCCACCTGGATGAGACAATGCTGCAACGTCGCGACGGCTGCTGAGCTTGAATTTGGAGCTTCGAGCCACTTTATCCGGTCTTTCGCCCCCACCCCGCCCCCACCCCGCGCCCACCCCGCCCCCAACCCCGCCCCCAACCCCGCCCCCAACCCCGCCCCCAACCCCGCCCCCAACCCCGCCCCCAACCCCGCCCCGCGCCACGCTCGCCACATGCAGGTTTGCGCTGCCTCATGCACCTGAAAGGGACGTGGTTCAAGCATGCCCCTTTGCAAATGCTGGATCTGGCGAGACACCTGGTTGCCTACATCACCGAAGACCAGTCGTTTGATGAGCATGTCTTTGAGAGAAGGATTGCCGCAAAAGAGTTCTTGGCTAAAGTCGTGCTGGGGGGTGAGGGATTTCAACAGTGGTTGGCCACGCAAAAGAGCCGGGAAGCTTTAACCCACAGAAGCTGAGACATGGTGAGGTCTAGTAAATGACTTCTTGGCAAAGTTGTCACTTGGCCGGTCGGCCGGTGATGGATTCCAATGCTTGTCACACTGGGCGACCGTCCGGGGCACGTGATGGATTTCAACAGTGGCCACCCAGAAGAGCTACCACGAAACTTTCACCCACGGAAGCTGAGACGTGAGCTCTACCTGGTTACCTCGTGACGAATACCATGGTACTCACGGTGAAGGACTAGTGTGGACTAGTGCGGACTGGTATGGACTGGTATGGACTCGTGGCCAAAGTTTCTCAACCTGATGGTGCTGCGCAAGTGGATGCCGAGAGCCTCAAAAAAGTACAATTTTGTCCTTCGTGCACATGTAAACACGGCTTGCAGGCTTGAGTCAGGTTTATAGGCGGACTGAAACGCACCAAGATGCACGCGAAAGCATCATCCCACCATGGCATACTCGGGTGTAGCCATGAGCATCAAACACCCGAGTGCACACACTGTGCCATCCACACTGTTTGAGCACTCATGGGCACGGGCCTTGGCGCCTCCGATTTTGCGGAACTGCATTCAGCACTTTTGCTCAGTCGATGAATGTCGATGAATGATTATGGCTGCCTTGCTTCTAAGTTCCTCCCGTTGACGAGCAGCCAAAATCAACGGAAACGCCAGAGGCATGCGTCTGCGAGATTCTGCAAGTGTTGGAACGCTGGCACCAAATGTGTGCTGAATAACGCATATTGGCAGCGCCGATATCACCGCAAACGCGAGGTTGTCGGTTGTCGGATCTTGTGAGGGTGGCACGCGACGTGCGGATGATGCCTTCAGGAGCTGGAGGCATGCCAAGTATGGAGCCGAGTGTTTCACAGAAGCCGATTATAAAATACTGTCTCCTTGTGCTTAGCTGAAGCGAAGCTATCCGACACGTCCGCCGCCCTCCGTCGAGTGGAGCTTGAAAATGAGTTGCTGCGGCGTCGCGCCAGTACGTGGTGTTCATGCTTCTGCGGAGGTGTGGCTGAAAGGCGACCGATGCTTGGCAGTTCTTTTCACTGTTTTTGGAATACCTGGCGGGCCATTAGAATTTACGTGCTTGTTGAGTCAGTGAGGCGTTTGGGGAAGCAAGGCGTCCATTCAGGGATCAACGCTGAGAACTGATGATTAGCCTTCTTGTACGTTTCCTGCACCAGCCTTGAGCCCATAGAGATCGACAGGATGCCAAACCGCCAAATCCGTTTTCAGTAGTTCCCTGCTGTTACGCCCGAATACACATCCCAACACCTTGATTCTTATCCTACGCCACCTGCAGCTGTTGTATCCAACGCATACGGGATCAAATCCGAAGTGTCTGTCAAGGAGCTACAAGGATGCAGCCTACCTCGCGGAGACGAAAGCTGGGTTATTGAAAACTGGTGGAGCCGTCCACAGTTATTTCTGCAATCATGAGATGGGCGGAGGTGGTATCCCATGAATGGCAACATGTGGCATATCAGTATGGCAGTTCGGGTGTGCAAAGCTGCGCCTTCATGGAATGTGCACCGCTGAAATGGTACGAAGCGTGTTAATGTCTTGCACAGTGTCCGAGAAACTGCAAAAAGTTCAACATGCCCTTCCCACAGGTCCGCTGCTGTCCATGAAGTTCCGACAATTGTTCGACAATTCATCTGTTGTTTGCAAGTCCGTTTTCTTTGCTCACAGTGGTAGAGCAACACATGGGCAATTGGCACAATGTGCATCCTTACCCTGACATAATTATTGATCAAAGCCCCCTGTGCAAAGGCCTGTTCTTGCAGCCGTTTGAGACGTCAGGTTCTTTTGGGCAGAGACAGCATGGCATTCATGCAGCGTGTGGCAATATCTGCCTTGGCGCTGTATGCCGTGGGAACCTTGGCCCAGTTTTTACCTCCTGGAACTACGGATGTTCCCAGTCCAAGGCCCGGCGACTGTGGCGAGGAGGGCCCCGCAACATATGTTTATCGGATGTCGCAAGAGAAGCCGAACGACTATTTCCCAGCCATCTGCGCTGGCATGGGCGGGGCAGAAGTTCGCTTTAACGACCCCTGCGCTTGGGCCCATGGTCAAGCACAGATGACGGGGGCCCACTTCACCAACATGTGCAAAGGTGCGACCCGCATGATTCACTGGCACAACCAGGCTGATGAGTGGGGTTTTGTCAGCAAGGGGCGCCTCATGACTTTTGTGGCGAGCCCGGATGGGCTTCCGTGGCCAAGCTCGACCAACATCTTGGAGCCGCGTGGTGTATGGTACTTTCCATCAGGTTGGCTGCATGGCTTGATGTGTGTCACTCCCGAGGATGAGGGTGGCTGCGAGTTCACCATCGTGTTTGCGTCCCCACAAGCTGCAGAGCCGAACGGCCACAACCTTGATACTACCTTGGCTCAAGCAGACAACGACGTGGCCGCTGCTGCGCTTGGAATCTCCCTGGCCACTTATGAAGCTTCGAGGCCTGCATTTGGCAGAGCGCAGCACTCCATTCACTACAGTAACAAAAATATGACGGCTCCCATAGTCACAGCCGTGGCCCCAGGCGCTTGCGATCCCGAGTGCCCGCCCATCCATGAAACGGTGGGGGCGCCTGCTGCAGTCCAATCTTTTGTGGAGCAACGAGTGGAGCTGCCAGGTGTGGCTGGAGTGACGTTGTACCGCATCCGTACAGATCAGTTTCCCTTCTCCCGCACGATGTCGCAAGAGCGTACCGAGCTGGCACCCGGGGCTGTACGTCCCGTAGTGTGGACCACAGCAGACTCTTTCTTCATGGTTATATCTGGGACCGTTACAGTGTCAATGGAGGGTGGCATCTTGGGCAAGGAGGCCCACCTTGCATTCGTGAACGAGACTCTCAAGGCCAACGACTTGGAAAGTGGATGTGTCGAATATTATCATGTCATTTCCAAATCCTAGTCTAAAGGCGGTGAAAGGGTGTTGTCAAAATTTTGTCGCTACAAACTCTTTCGAGACTCCAGTTTGAATCCCATCGAAGATGCTGCTGCCCTCCGAAGTAGGAGTGGGTGCCTTACAGATATTTGGTCAAAGCAACAAATCCACATGAGGAGGTTTTCGAACAAACGACTTTTGGCGCTAAATGTGCAACTCTCACAGACCTGGCAGGCCGGTGATGCGGCTTACTTCCCCAACGGCCGCGCCTATTGGTTCCGTGAGGCCACAGGGAAGGTCCCTGCGGAGACCATCAACGCCGCTCGTCATGCCCTTGGTGGTGTTTGGTGGTGTTGGGGTTGAGATGGATTCCAGGTTTTCCTAAAGGTAAATTTTGCAAGCTTTCCGTTTTCCAATGCCTGCAGCTGCAGACTGAACTGGGGCTTACAATGTGTGTAGTCTCGATTCACGAACTTAGCCTTTGGTTTCTGCTGTTTTGTGCAGGAAGGTAGCCGGAGCATGGCCCAGAAAGTGCGTGGTCGTGCCTGTATGTTCCATGTTCCATGTTCCATGAAGGTCTTCAACGTGGGTATCTGGAAGAGCATTGAGCTGGGCCACGCTATCTCCGAGATGCAGCTTGGCTTGATTTGCCCTTCAGGCTGATCAATGCTTACAATGCTTACGAGGTCCAGGGCCAGGGGCTTTGCACAGACCGGGAGCAAAGTGGTGGCCATCACATTGTGCTTAATTGTGGGCAAGGCACTCTCATTCAGATTATGGGGCTTTTGCGGAGATATCAGGCCAGCAAGAATTCTAGGGCTGCTCAAACAGAACCAGCGCCACTGCATCTAGGGCTGTTCACGGACGCAGTTCTTACAAATCTTCTTGCCGTCGGAAATCCAGCACAGCTCTGTAAGGCCGAACATCGTTGTGATGTCCAACCTCCACCAAGCACACTTCGCACAGCCTGTCCACGTCTGAGGGGCTGCAGGATCGGCTGAACTTACCAGCATTATGGCCTGATGTCAGAGGCTAGGCCAGCACATCGACCGTGCCATTAGCGTACATGGAGCAAGAGTCCTTTCCTGACGAGCCGAAGTTTTGTGTTCCTCTCCTACCTCTGGTTCGCTTGGCCGAACGTACAGCAGTTCGTCCTTTCAAGCCTCGGTGTTGACTTATGACTCCACTGAAACACACTCAGAACAGATGTCAAGGAAAAAAATGCGGGCCTGTTGCGCATCGCAGCAGAGCATGGAGAGGTCAACTAGTCATCCGGAACGAAGCTCTGCTCAGGCCATGTGCCAGATGAGAGTGATGGCCTGTGTCAAGAGAGGTTGTTCTTCAGCAGCCCCGCATCATTGTCGGCTCGAAGCAGCAGTGGCTTGCTCCGTCCTTTCCGAACACTGTGCCCAAGCCCACGATTCCCAACCGCGACCATGCACCTTGGCCGCAAGTGCGAACTGTAACAGGCAGAGAAGCGTTTTGATTTCATGAAATCCTAAGCATTCGTTCAGGCCGGGAATGTTTTTCATTCAACGAGTCCTCTGAGCTCATCTTGTCCTTCCTTGGAGGTCCCGACTTTCGATGCTGATGCTTTTCTGGGCCAGCTCGGAGAGGCCAACCTCATCAATCTCTGCTTCGTTCTCTTCCAAGCTGTGAAGTGCTCTGAAATGCCTGGGTTTCCGACACAACCCCAGGTTTCCGACACAACCCCAAATCAACAGTAGTAGCTGATGGACTCAACACAAGCTGGCCATTGCGCCTCATCGGCTGGCTCATCTGCTTCCAGCCCTGTTCTGACACAGAAAATGGAGCATCGGTGGCTCTTGAGGAGTGTGAGAATCGAAGCCATGGGCGCATTGAGCGAGTAAGGCACAAAGCCGCACGTCTCCTGTAGGGTACCGCACCTATTTTGCATTATTTTGCCCTGGTGGCTTTCTCATGGTGTAGCACTTTGGCAAACAGCAGGTTTGGAGGGCCCCCAAAAACCCACTCCCCAGGAAGAATCTGGATGAAACGCAAAGGTGTGGCCCGATGGTGGTGCACGTGCTCCCCCCAAAAGGGCCCTCCCAAACGTAGCTATCCCGTCGGGGCTTGAGCAAACATCCTGAAGGGTGGTAACATCGTTTGTTGCAAATGAATGCCAGCACCCAACCTTGAGCCTCAAACCAAGCCCCTTTCACACCGCCAACCATCCCGCAGCGTGGCGCCGGACCCCGGCTGCTTGGCGGAAGGCCGCGACTGGGAGGCGGATCCTGGACATTGATATGATTTGATCCAGAGACTCAGGTTGTTTGAAGTTGCTGAGGTTCTCTTGGGGTTGAGAGCTTACATGTTTCGTTTGATCTTGAAGACTTGTGTGCCTGAACCTTGAGCACTCATTCTTCGTGCGGAATCAGGAACCGTAAATGATCTTGCACAGTTTCCCGCGGACAATTGACAAGTGTTGTACTGTAGCTTGCTTCATACGGGATGTGGCTTGTGCTCCGTGAAGCCAGGGGAGGTTCCGGGTTTGATGGCTGAGCGCTGAGTGATTGCAGCTTTGTTGCCTCATGTGCCTCATGCACAGCATCTTGTCCGCTCTGCTCATGAAGCATAAGCCGTAGAGTATCGTAGAGTATCGTAGAGTATCGTAGAGTGGTAAAACAATATGAAGGCGTGGGCCGGCCTTGGCAACCGTGTCTGCCGTGGCCACAGTGTGGCCGAGAGTGACCCGCTTGCTGCTTGGCCTGAGAATCAGGATGTTGCTAGAGCCTTCGAGTTTTTGAAACAAGTATTGGATTCCACCGAAGATCTCGCCGGGCGTTAGGGGTTCGGGTGGAGTTCGGGAAGATTGGTAGCATTCGGTAGCCCAGGTTGCGGACTGAAGTGGCTCTGGGATTCGTGTTGAGTTGCATGCGGTGCTTCAGGCGAGAGAGTTTTGTGTTTAGATTGCCACTTCCCTTTCTATGTAGAGCTTGAAGCGAGAGGCCACTAAGGTCACTGAAAACGCAGGCTTACTTCAGGATTCGGGGGGCTGATGATGCTCATGCCGTTGTTTCGGCATCAGACTCTTCCTTGCGCCCTGGAAGATGGGCTTGAGTGCTGTGAGAAACCCACCTCATCCCACCTCAACGCCGTGTGTTCTGAAGGACTACAACGTGACCAGCGCTGCCACGCTCGAGGCGAGATCTAGTCTGCTGTTGGCTTTGAGCTCCGGGTCCTTTTTTTTGGCGGAAAGAGACTCGGAGCTGAGTGTGTGTGATCACGTGAGAGGGGTGATGTGTCGTGACAGACTAGGAAGGCTTTCTGCTGTCTGCAAAGACAGAGCCCCCGAAACCTTGAACTCGCCAATCTCAAGAGTTGGACAACTCTGAACCGTCCTAGATCTCTCCAGAACTGTAGGCAAGAGTAAAACAAGCGTCAATCGAGTCAAACACCAATCCTTGCGCCAGGAGTGCAAGGCCAAATGCCTTGAGGACCCGTGCAAATGCAAAGGCGATTTTCCTTCTGGGATGCGTGTGCCCCAAAGCTTGAAAGGGGCACTTGGTGTGTAGCCATTCTCTGGAGCCGCATCAATCGGCAAGCATTCAAACCAGCAGAAGCGAAGCAGCAACAAGTCTGTTTGCCTCAGCTCAGGTGTCATACCCTGAATGAGCAGCGAACCTTTCAACGCATCCTTCTTGGCGCAGGGGTGGAGTACAACTCTGTCTCTGGTCGCTGTGAGGTGTGGCACCGCGAGGTGGAGAGAGGGTTCTGGAGTTTCCAAAAGGGGTTATGGCTGGTTGTGGTGTTTCTGCTCATTTCGGGGGGGGGGGGGGGGGGGGGGGGGGGGGTGGGGAGGGGGGGAAGCACACGTTTGCACACTGTAGGAGCTCGGAAATGCTTCGGCATGAATCAGTGAGCCTACTGCAGTCAAGCCTTCGCAGTGTTGAAAAAGCCCGTCACGGATCCTAGGAGCCCGTGCCCAAGCCATTCCAGCATGAGCCCTTCAACCGAAGAAAACTTGAACACGTGCGCATAGTGGGATTCGGAGCCTCGGAGCCTGTAGCCAGTCAAGCCCAACCTGGACTCCAACAAATGTTGATTTCCCAGTCCTCGAGAATCTGTGGCGCACGTTGGAGTTAAAGGGGTTCGTACTCAGAGGCCATTCGCAAACACCCGAAGAAACGCAATACTGTAGCCAAGAATCGCGGACAAGAAAACACTTCGAGCATTTCTCACATTTCTCAATGCGACACACACAACCACACACACCCATACACACACTCTCTCTCTGTCTCTCTCTGTCTCTCTCTGTCTCTCTCTGTCTCTCCCTGTCTCTCTCTATCTCTCTCTGTGTCTCTTTGCCTCTCGCTGCCTCTCTCTGCCCCTCTCTGCCCCTCTCTGTCTCTATCTGTCTCTCTCTGTCTCTCACTGTCTCTCACTGTCTCTCTCTGTCTCTCACTGTCTCTCACTCTCTCTCACTCTCTCTCACTTTCTCTCACTCTCTCTCACTCTCTCTCACTCCCTCTCACTCTCTCTCACTCTCTCTCACTCTCTCTCACTCTCTCTCACTCTCTTTCACTCTCTCTCACTCTCTCTCTCACGCTCTCTCACGCTCTCGCACTTTCTCTCACTCTCTCTCACGCTCTCTCTCGCTCTCACGCTCTCTCACGCTCTCTCACTCTGACTCTCTCACTCTCTCACTCTCTCACTCTCTCACTCTCTCACTCTCTCACTCTCTCACTCTCTCACTCTCTCACTCTCTCACTCTCTCATTCTCTCACTCTCTCACTCTCTCACTCTCTCACTCTCTCACTCTCTCACTCTCTCACTCTCTCACTCTCTCACTCTCTCCCTCTCTCACTCTCTCACTCTCTCACTCTCTCACTCTCTCACTCTCTCACTCTCTCACTCTCTCACTCTCTCACTCTCTCACTCTCTCACTCTCTCACTCTCTCACTCTCTCACTCTCTCACTCTCTCACTCTCTCACTCTCTCAAAATTTTGAGTGCGCTTCGCGGGCCTTTAGATGCCTCCTTGAGAGATGTTTTGGATATACTTCCCGCGCCCACCAACTGACTCACTTTTCAGAGTCAGGCCGGCATCTCCGCTTGGACGGAGCCCCAAGTCCAGGGATTCACCTGCCAGAGGCTCTGGGCGCTTGGGGGAAGGTTTTGGCTTCTCTTTCTGTGGGATTTGCAGAGTTTCGGCTCCATCTGTGAGTTTTTAGAGAGAGAGAGAGAGAGAGAGAGAGAGATGGAGAGTTTCACAGTTTCACATACAAGTCGTACACTCAGTAACAGGGGTAAGACTCCTCACTTCCTGCCTGTGACCGCAGGTTCGGCTGGCCGGCAAAGTATCTCATGCCACTGGACGGAGGTGCGGGCCGGGCGTGCCGTGGGGACACCGAGACAGACAACGACGAAAGCTGCTCGGATTGCTGTTTGGATGTTTGGATGATGCTCAGCTTCCGCTCTACTGTCAGGATATGCTCGGGGATGCTCCGCACATGAGGCACCATAGGCACGAAAAAACTACGAGACAGGTGTACAAACGCTGACCCTCTGAGGCAGGAAAAGTATTGTCAGAAAGGCTTGCAAAAACACTTCGTATTCGTTCACTTTAGTGCATTCATTTCCTCTCAAGTACTACACTCCTGTCCGTTGCAGAGTTGCGGACAAAGGGTCGCTTCAACCATCCTATTGGACCTCAAGCTTTCAAAATGCCTAGGCCGAGAGAACTTCAGGCCAACATCCCCAAACGTAGTCTTCTGTGGTTGAGAACCGACGGCCTTTGTGTCCTCAGCCCAGGCTACTACACTATCAAGGATGTGATGCATATGGAGGACCGACATGTGTTTGCAAGAGTGCGTTCTTCGGGCCTTCAGGTTAAGGCCCTCTGATGTTTCCACGCAACACCTGAAGTTCCTGAGTCCACAGCGTTTGGGGAAGACTGTTCTGCAGATTCTGGCTCTTTGTACGGAGGCCAAGCAGACTGTGGCAGACTTGTTGAACAACCCCAGAAGGTATTGAACCATTCAGAGCGCTTGAGACCTCAGCCCTATGCAAGCCCTGTGCAAACTCACACAGCCGAAGAAGCATGCGGAGCTTGTAAATGTACAAATTACATATTGAAGCCATAATGCCATAATGCGTAGACAACAATCTCTGGTCCAACGCCTTCAGCTCCCCAAACCCAATCGTGAAGTGTCAACGTCTCTGTGCATTTAAAGCGACATGCGATTATTGTACTGTGTATTTTGGAAGAGTTCACGGTTTCGGGTAGGCTTTCACTGTGTCCGTGTCCGTGCTCGTGTCCGTGTCTGTGTGGGACACCGCTTTACATGCGGGGACCAAAACACCCAGTTTTGCACAATTGGTACCAGAACATTTTCAACCAAAGTGCATGTGATGAGCATCTCCTGTGGAGCATCCACTGCGAATCATTCGGGTGTCAGCAAGTGTGCATGATTCTGTTAATTCACTTAAAACTTCATTCGCTCTCTACTGCGTCCTCACCAAGCTCATCAAGGGCACCGATGATGGCATTCAATTTTACAAAGTGTTGGTGTGTGTGTGTGTGTGTGTGTGTGTGTGTGTGTGTGTGTGTGTGTGTGTGTGTGTGTGTGTGTGTGTGTGTGTGTGTGTGTGTGTGTGTGTGTGGCACTTGGAGCGCGCGAATGCAAGCAAACAATATGGTTAAGACGGTGCAAGCAAACAGAAAGCACACTGTGTTCCTGGGATTCTGGGATGCTTCATCTTCCACGTGGCATGTTTGGGTCACGGCGCATTTGTCTTTGTCATGCTGGTCGCGTATTGGCAGGCATCCTTGTCAGCCACGGCAGACCTTCCCCTGCAATGGGCGGGTGGGCGCTTGGGGTTCAGTGTTCGTCCGACGGTTCGAAGCTCCATTCGTTTTCGCATTGAACCAGCTTGTTTTCTACTTTCACGTTTTCTAACTCACTCCATTGTCTTCCGGCTGACGCCGTTTGGTTGCTCGGTTGGAACCTTCGGATGCTGACGAGATGACCACTTTTCTTCTGGTCTGTTTCCGGTTGCGTTCAGCGGTTCAATTCTTGGCTGCATGTTCGCATTGGGTTGCAAGGTTGCAAAAATGTGCTGGTTGTGGACCCCACATTTGCAGGACTGTCGAGCCCGGTGTGTGGCGACTGTGGACTGAGCCATGGCAAGAAAGTTTGTAGGTCCCTGTTTCCTATTCAGGCCTTGGGGCTTTTTGGGCCTGAGGTGTTCAGCTTTATGTTGCGCAGATGGCAGGCTCAGGGAAACATCTAGCCTGACCCGAAAGCCCTAGCACCCCCGAGTCGCAGTTTTGTGTTCTTCCAGTGCCTGCGAGGACTTTGGGGCCATGATGCACGGTAAATAGCAGCATGTTTGAGCAGTTCAGAAGCATGCCGTACCACAAGTGTTAGGATTTTCTTGAATAGGCAGGAAGTTCAGGCTTCTCGAACTTCTCGACTTCCATATTGTGTAGGGTTCCCAGGGTTCTTTTGGTAGGCAAGACAGAAAGAAGGACGAACATAATAACAAGCAAAGGCAGAAAGAACTATTGGCACTGTGAAACACCAGGAATCACATGCAGCAAGATACGCAAAGCACATAAGTAACGGATATCACAAAGACGCCCGACACAATGAAGAAAGGAAGAAGAACAAAACCAGGAAGCTTCGTATTGAGTGGAGCTTGTTCGCTCCCTAAACCCGTCTGTTCAATCTTTTAAAATGGGAATGGACATCGGTCACGTTTTTTCGCGCTGATGGCCGATGCATCTCAAGTTGACCCATGTGATTCGGGCAGTTGCAGCATTGCAGGCTTTAAAAGTGTAAGCTATTCAGGTGGATTTTTCGCCCTAGGCCGGGACTGGAGGACTCTTAATCGCTTGATCTCATAAGAGAAGTCAGACACAGTTGCGGCAACATTTCAAAATCCTCACAGTCGAAGTTTCAAGGCAGTAGCAATCCCGGAAGAATCATAAGAAGGCCTCGAGACAATCTCAGACATATGCCAGGCACGGGCGTTGAGTTCAGCGGCAACCGCTGCGAGATCTGGACACGGGAGCCAGGTGTAGTAGGGTGTGGGATCTTGTCACGTCACAGAACGCCTTATCCCAAACTTGAAGGGGAGATGCAGATTCTGCTATCTTCCTGTCCAGGTTTGCAGATTCGACCAATTTGAGGTGAAGTTTGTTTTGCACTTGGTGGGCTAGAGTTTGCGGCGGTGTCGACCAATTTGAGGTGAAGTTTGTTTTGCACTCGGTGGGCTAGAGTTTGCGGCAGTGTCCTGGAGTGTATGACTTGTCGTGAGTCTACATCAGCTAGGCACGCTGAAAACCTCAGATGGTGTGGCTGTATGTCTTGACAACGAATCACAGAAGCCCTGCACCCCCCAAAATTACAAACAAAATAGCGCCCAACTTGGTGAGATTTGCGCTTGGGGGCCATGGCATTGGGCCTTGTTTGCACACGCTGTGTGGGAGGACTCGTCCCATCCTTGCCACCAAAGCCTTGACCAACTTCACTTGCCTTCGCTACGAAGGCCCAGGCCTACGAACTGTTCCTGTGTTCTTCTTCGTGGGTGTTTGAGGCATGTTGAGGCCGAAGGATGTGGGGATCTTCGGGTGGGACCAAGATGCCTACATCCCCAAGCCTTTTGTCTAACAGGGCCGCGCTCTGCATGCACGCTCTGCATGCACGCGCCTGCTACTGCCCCGCATCCTACCCCCATCATCCCCACCCGACCTGGCGGCTGACAGCCCCCACTTGGGGTCCATATGATTTGCTGGGTAAGGCATCAAGCCACGGATGTCGTTCGGCCTAGGATATCTAAGCCCCATCTTTTCGCTCCCTCAAGTATGCTCGACAAGTTTGTGGCAAACTCTCTTTGCGAAGACGCTTATGGCTCCACTGACCATCAATGAAACCATACCAAAACCATGGGCTCTTCTTCTTCCGATCTCGAGGGTGGGTCTGTACAACCTCAAGGATGAAGTCGTGTCTACGCTACCTAGCTCTTTCTGAAGTCGTAGAGATAGCTAAGGACTACCCAAAGATGCTCTCTCTAACTTTCGACCTGTACCTTTGCCTCCATTTGCTCCACTACCTGGACGATCGCATTCAGAATCGTCAGTCTGGTTCTGCAAAAACCACTCTGCCAGTCAACCTGTTCATTCTGTTCATCATTCTCTCTCTCTCTCTCACTCTCTCTTTCTCTCTAGCTCCCCTTAGTGGCCCTTTTTTTGGCGCCTTTTATCGAGCAGTTATTTCGAATTCCCATCGTCTACTGTCACGCAAGCCAAGAACTTAAGACAAGATTGGTCCTCTTCTGCCTCCGTTTTCTCTTTGGCCAGGAGGCCCGGCAGAGAGGTCCTCGCTCACTTTACTCGCTTCCGAATGAATTTCTTCGTTCGGGCACAAAAGCCCGACTTCATGCGCACAAGATATATGCTCATGATATAGGACGTGTAGTGCGGTCTCTATGCATGTGTATTTTTAAACGGGCAGAAGGCCCCATAAGATAAACCATAATTGAAGTGCCGTTTGCTGCTCACGACGTTCATTATGCGGCCATTGTTGTTTCTACAATTTGTCAGAGAACTCATCGACATCCGCACGCCCCATCAGAATCGAGAGAACCTAGACACTCCCCGCAACCACATGCCAATTGGCACCGTTTGCCGGAGCTTTATACCACCCGCCCGCCTGAGAATGCAAGCTTCAGCCATCAAGCCTACACTCAAAGCAGCAACTCCGAAGTCGACGCCTCCAATGATCTGTGTGCAAGTGCCTTGACCCTAAACCCTAAACCCTAAATTAAACCCTAAACTTAATCAGCAAACTCAATCCTGGTCATTGGACCGATGTGGTCGCCAACAGTGAGTGCAGGATCGAGCTTTTACGTGACCACTGCGGCGCCAATTCTGCCGTGAGGCATCTGTTTGGCATCTGAGAACCAAATTTGCCTTTGACTCCGGAGTAGAAGCTCTGGAGACATATTTGGGGCGATTTAAGGCCCCCAGTTTCAGTTTTGGTGAACCGACCCGATGTGTACAGCGAAGGCAACAGCAGCGAGACGTTTTGTGAAGGCCCATCCTAGAATGAATTGCTTGGGTTGCTTTCTTTGGCCTGGGAACAATCAGAGCTATTGCTGCTGTTGCTGGCAAATGGGGAACCTCCACAACCCTGCCCGGTAACCGCGCCCGGGAGATGTACCACCTGAGTACTCTCTTCTCGCGGGCCCGGCGGAGGTTGAAACAAAGAGGACAAAAAAAATGCGACTTGCATGAGACTTGCATGACTTGCAATGATGTTTTGCACTCACGAGCGGAGCGTTACAACCACGTGACATGGCAATGCAGGATGAAGAAGAATGCTAGGTTTCCATTACACGATGCTTTCTTACATTTTCGCACCTCTATTGAAAGCCCGCAGCCCACTTTTGCACCTGCCGCAGTGCTGGTGATGTTCTCCAGTGCTTGTGGTCGCCCACTTGCCGCCGTGCCTTTAGGCCCAAGAGCTGTGCACAGGGTCATTGATGTCACCTGGCCTGCAACCCAGAACTCTAGCTCAGCCCACCTTACAAGCTTAGCAATAGTCGTGCGCACTTCGTTTCGGAAGCAAGATGGCATCGAGGCGCAAAGCGTTGCTCATTTCCCGTCGGGGTTGTGGATTCTGGGTTTCAGGGCCACGTATTCCAAGTCATTTCACGTATCGTTGTGGATACGGGCTTTCAGGGCAAAGTATTCCAAGTCATTTCAGTCATCATGTTTGATCCAATGCCTATCCAAGCTGATATGAATGTTGCTGTTTGCCCGATGACGAAAGAAGCTGCGCAGGATTGCGCTGATCTCGCAGCAGTAGTGCTGGCAATTTCCTCATGAGTCAGTTCTGTAAATTATGTGGGTCACCCGACAAAGGCCATACTAAAAAAAAATGTGCGGACGTGTTGTAAACGCACGCAGGTGATTTACGCATGCGGGTGTTGTTTGTTTTTTGGAAGCGTGCTTCTCATGGCCTGCGTGATGATTCAGAAGCAACTTTGTCGATCCTTTAGAGGTGGTTCCACGTGAACGTGCAAAACGCACATGCCAATTCACTCGATATTCACGAGGTTTCGCGTGGTTGACATGCTGAAAACATCAGTGGCATCAGTGTTTTCGGCTTGTCCACTGTCCGCACAGGCGGACATGGCAAGAACATCGGTATCGGCAGTGTTTCGCGAATGTCACATGCCCAAAACCTCGATTTTTTTGGACCGCCACACGATGATTACGTACACGCCACCAGTACATCCATTGGCCAGAACATCCATGCCCGCGCGATGATTGCATCCCTGTTAGCCTTAGCGCTGTTCTCGTAGCACAGGAATGCATCACCTGAACGTGGACACATTGTTTCAGTAGCAGTAACTCTGGTTGTATTTGCAAGCGGACTGATGTTTCCTTCCTTTGAGGCTCGTTTCGGGTATTCGTGCAGATGAAAAGAGAGATGTAAATCTAAGGCCTGAGAGCTCAGCTTTGATGAAGAAGAACCCATCTCCATCTGAACCCCTTCGTTTCGGTTCCGACGGTAATCTTGGAGTCTTCTTACAGTTTGTGGACAGCATGATGCTTCTGACCAGGACTGTAACATCACCAATTCCCGTCAACTCCCGCAGGGCCCGGGCCCTCACAACCCCACCGACCCCACCGACCCCACCGACTCCACCACATTCTGCCCCCCCCTCCCCGCTCCAGATCGCGCCCGTTCCTGGCCCTGGCAGCCTTGGCAGCCCTTCTGAGCCGCGCGCACTGCGCTTGAGACATGGGTTTTGAGACGTCGGGATTTTGTGGGGGTTCAGGGCTTTAGGGTGTTCCTTAAAGCCAGCAACCCTCCAAACCCACACTCGATGGACGCCCGAAAACCAAAGCTTGAGACTCTTAATAGGGTCATCGGGGCCAGGCCATAGGGCCATAGGGTCGTAGGGCCATTGGGCCATAGGGCCGTTGGGCCATAGGGCCATATAGCCAAGGGGCCTTCGCAAATGTCTTTTGCTTGCTTTCGGTTTGGAGGACACGGGGAGCGCACTGCATCACATAGAGCCTCCTTCTCTAGGTTATCTGGTTGTAGTATGACAATCTGTGTATTCAGATTATTCAGTGCTTTCTGGCGCTAGGCTCATTCACCTTCGTTGTGCCGCGGCACCTGCAGGCCCCACGCAGCCTGCAACTTTCGGGACTCTGGTTCACATTGTGTGGCTGTCTTTGGGCCTAAAGTCAGTGAGATCCCCAGAATCCTGAAAAGCTTAGTAGTTGCTCGTACGCCAAAAAAATGAACTTCGCCACATTCCTTCGGCCTTCTCGGCCCTGTGATTCAGGTTTTCAAGTAGGATTTTCAGAGCAGGATCTGTCATGCAACAGCAATCCCCAAGTTGCGAGACACTTCAGCCACGGTCGGCAAGAGGTTTCAGGGTTTGGGAGGAACGACCAGCCCGAGCGCCTTGAAACCTTTCCGCCGCAAGTCCCCAGACTGCAGCCAGGACGCCCTTACCCTTGGGCCGTCAATGCTAGTCCGTATACTGGTCCATGGTCCAAAAACTCGGGATGCTAGGACGTGCCGTCAATATGGCCAAGAGGGCGAGGGAAGTAGCAGCTAAGGCAGCTAAGTAGCAGCAAGATGACTGAAAGAGGTCCGATCTCCCGGCCTGGCTCGCGCGGCACGAGGTCTCGATGGCAGGCCTCCAATCGAATGTCGAGCCATGGAGATTCCAGGGCTAGGTAAATACCTTCGCTTTGTCCGATGTCACGGCCACAAAGAAGGTTCAAGGCGATGCTGAGCGGCACTTACCTAGTTCTCACTGGTTTACAGCTTGCTTTGGGGGTTCAGATCTGGCATTGATGGTTTGTTGTATCTTTCGAGTGTGAGCACATGGTCACATGGTCCATTCCTGCTGTACTCTAAGCCTCTAAGCTTTGCTATCTTGCGCAGGGTACAGCAAAAAGAATACAAAGTCAACGACGAGATTCGGGCGAACGAGGCCGAGAGGACTTGTGTTGGCCTGGTGTTTTGCTCGTGGTGCCTAAATACGGTTGTGCGCCGTGTGTTCTTCGCCCGCTCCACCCCACCCCCATCGCCCGAGGGTCTCCTTTGCTGCTCGGTGTCCACGCGTGCCCCATGCAGGTCCGTGTCGTTGGCATTGTCAGTGACAAGCTTGAGACGGGCGCCAGTCGCATGGAGGCAGCTGGAGCTGCTCTTGGCATGTGCTCTGTGATTTGGTAGTGATGCATGATGTGGGATTTCTGGGGCAACTCTGAACTCGTAGCGGCGTAGCGTTTGTCTGAGAGCGCAAAGTGCACCCCTTCCTGGCGGCCACCACAAAGCGCTGTGACCTTCGCATATTATCAGATTGAAACCCCAAACCCGAAGAATCATTCAGTTTCAGTAGTGGTCCGCAGAATGCGGGTTGCGAGAAGTAGGTGTAATTAACTATAGGCTTTTCTCCGCCGAGGAGCTCGATCATTGGGATTCTCAGAGGATGTCTTGCAAAATGAGTCGGGCATTTGGGTTCAGGAAGTTCTCGGGGGTCACTATGTAAGTTTGAATAACCCAGGGTCTGAAATGAAACCCAAACCTTGGATGCACTCAAAGAAGCGATGTGGCAGGAGATGAACGAGGTCATGTCCCTCCGAGATGCCATGGAGATTGCCCGCAGCAAAGGTGTAGACGTGATCCTCATCAATGAGGAGTGCACATCGTACTGCGGCTTCAGTTGTTTCACTTCAAAGTTTCGTGAGGTTCAGGCTTTAGAGTCGAAAGAACCAAGGAACGGAAACTGTGAGACCAACGTTTCTGGGGGCTTGTGCTAGAATTGACAGAACTTGAGCTCAGCCACGATGCACGTCGGGCACACTGCGGCATCCCACCTGACATGCGCCAGAACCCTCCAGCCTCCCAAGAAATTTGAATTGAAAAACAAGACAAACAAGCCAAGTCAAGACTTCGCCTTGTTGCGACAGCTGCAGGATCCGGACCCTCCGCTGGTTAAGATTTTCAGCCGCTGAACCGAACTGCGGGCCTGCAAGAGGGGGTGAATGGCTTTCGGGACAGGTAGTGAACCAAAAGGACGATGAAACGCAAGCAATTCTTGACGACGTTTCATGGTAGATGAAGAAGAAGGAAGAGGATATGTTCATCAAAAATTGTTCCCTTTGTTTTGGTCCCAAAATAGTTGACAACCCTAGCCTACTTGTAGCATGCGGCACTTTAAGAGGGGAAGATCGGAGCAATATCGGTGACAGCAGTGCTCCAGGGCCTTTAAGAGTAGAGTTTCAGGCTCAGGGCGCAGCACAAATGCTGTGAATCAGGGCGATGTCGGGTGTCGTCCAGCGTTCAGGGTGGAAGGTCTTTGAAGGTCTTCGGTGCGCAGAGTGCACGTGCACGAAGCCCTGGGTATCTGAGGTGTGGGTAAGTTTGTGTACGAGGAGAAGAAGCGAGCCAAGGAGAGGTGGTGTCGATGTGTGCTGTTGTGCTGCCACCCCTGCAGTTCAGAGTTTCATGCGAAGAAAGCCCGAACTGGATCCTTAAATCCTACGGAGGAGCAGACCGGGCCTTCATTGTGCGGTCAGTTTGGGCTCATGTGGGCAAGCCCATAGCTGCCTATATCCCTCATGGTGAGCACTTAGTGTTTGAAACTGGCGGTTGCTCCTGGAAGAAGTTCCCCAGGTGCCTTTGCTCGTTTCCATGTCAGGAGCTGGCAAGGAACAAGGCTCCGAAGATGAAGGAGGCACCCCCCCCGCCTCGAGAATGTGCGTCGTGACTTCCTCAAGCCCCTCCACCATCGACCTCACTACACCAACGCACCATACGATCACCACCACATACCCAACATGACTCCCTCTTGACTCGGATTGGACATCCAACTTTCCACCCGCGGCTCAGAGTAGCACTGCCTTGCCCTGATTAAGAAAGATTCAACCCCTTGGGCATGCCCCTTAAACGAAACTAAGGGCTAAGGGGGTATGGTAAAACATCCACCGAAGGAGCATGTCCTCGTGCTAGAACCGAAGCCCCGAGTGTTGAGCAAACCCGCGCTTCCGACCGTGAATGTCCCCCCAAAGATGCGCTCTGCACAGGTCAGCATTAGGACTTGTGGTTGCGGTAAGCTTGGGCCTGTCAGGCAATTAAAGTGCAACTCAATCTTGCCCTTGTTGTTTCACGTCGGGTTAACGTGCAGCCAAGCTTCCCTTTGCTTGAAACTGTATTCAAAGAACCATCGGAGTCCAGATGCATTTGCTCAGCTTTCGGAAATAGGTTCTGGAAGACTTGAAAGACGAGTCCCGGCGCAAAAGACCGCATCCAAGCTACCTGAAGCTCCCATCAGGTAAAGATCACATACACGATCGGCGATCACGATCTCAACACCAAGTTGCGGGCTTGGCTAGGTTTCAGCTTTGACACTTCCACAATGATATGCCTGGCGGTGGAGAACAGGGTTTCAGGGCCTTTAGGAGGGAGTTTTTTTTTCCCACCCGTTTTTTGGTCGCATCGGCCAAGAGCGACTATGAGTGCCTTGCTGGGTCCTGCTAGGTCTCAGGCCCCGTCTAAGGCCCGGATCGTTCCTGTGGGATGCAAGATGGTGCGGATGGCAGACATGTCATCCACCAGTGGTCCTCCGTGGATTCAGTTCTCAGCTTCGTGAGGCTGTTCTTCAGGGGTGTGGGTGATGCTGAAGTTGCCATGGCTTTCAGAACCCTGCCCCCCAAACTGTTCATACCAGTCCCAGCTGCTAAATCTTTCACTGAAACGATGGGCCCTGAATGTTGCCCTTGACTGCTCTCACGTGTTTCAAGGAGACAATCGACCCAAGCCTCAGCACCCTGCAGACCCTTAGCACATCGTTTTTGTCTGTTCTTTTTGGGGTTTGTTTTCGTTCAATTCGTCCGCTCAGCTGAATTTAGACGTGCAAACTGCTGATGCTTCGCGCCATTTTCAATTGAGAGGCTGAGGAACATGGAGAGGTGGCTCGAGAACAAGCGCCAGCAGGCCCAAGGGGGGACGCCCAACAGCTCCTGCCATAGAGCCATCCTGTCACTGGGTCCCGAGCCTTCAGCACAAGCAAGCTACTGCTAACACCACCTTACACAATCATTCCAAGGATTCCTAAGCCTCGGCGCAGGTCAAAGTGCAGTGCGTCATGAAGGGCCGCTCGCGCATGTTCGAGGACCAAGCCAGGCACCCTTGCAAAGCGGGGTCCAAAAGGTTTTCAGTTCTTCGATATGAAGGGCCTGATGTTTGGGGCTTAAGAGAGCTGACCTAAGGATGTTGTAAGCGTCGAGTGAGGTGAAGGGAGGCACGGCTCAGCATGAGAAGCCCGAACCAACTTTTCAGTTGCAACGAGATCCTTGAAGCCCGAACGCCTGAAATGTCCTGGAGTGGTCTTCCAAGCTTCCAAGCCACCCATCCGCAACTCTCCCGCATCAGACTGGTTAAGGGTTTGTCTTTTGTGTTTCTAGTCTGATCTAGAATGTGGTTTTCCACAAAAGCTCCGGTGTAAGATTGTTAAGAGTGCCCCATTTTGGCAAAGTTTTGGCAAAGCTGTGTCGGGCTACTTGGAGACACTTTGGGGACACTCTGGGCTTGTTGAGCTTTCCTCCGTGGAAGGGAGCTTCTGGCGCGAGTCCGCCGGGAGGCGAATCCCAACCTGGGGCTTAGCGGGAGTCGGCCTTGGCGGATGCCTTTGAAACTTTGGAGCCTTCACTTCAAGGTTTAGAACATCCAAGGTTTTGACGGAGTGCATGGGGGTGGGGTTTCAACTTTACAGTTAATCCACCTTCTTTCACAACCTTTTGAAGTGGCATCATTACAAGGACCTCGAAATAGACCCTGACGCTCCGTTTCTCAATGTAGATGAGAGGAGGCATGCTGCAAAGGTAAACAGCATGTGTAGGTCTATTTTTGGTAGTCAATCGGGCATGGTATTTGCCGCAATCCCGCAGCGAAAAACCTAAACCATGAGCCTCAAGCACCTGAGCCCCCGACCTTCTTCATCCATTCGGCCGAGTCGTGCTTCCAGATCTTTTTTTTTGTTGCCTTGGCCTTTCCTGCTGATAGCGGCATGGGCGGGTTGCACTCCTGGTGTGCTCTGAGCTATAAGGGAAGGGGGGGTTGCACTTCCAGAGTGCCAATGGTTGCCTGCCCCACTTCACTCGCACTTCCCCCTGCCCCCTCCCCTGCCCCCCAGTCCTGTGATCAAAAACTTGCACCACCACTACTATTACTATTACTAGTAGTGGTACGGACCTACCCAGCTCACTGCGGAGGTGGCGCACTTTGCCAAGGTCCCCGGCGTGGTCTCGCCGTCACACTTTTGCAAATCTGCAGGTTAGATTCAAAAGGAGCGTCCTTGTTAATGGGACTCATTTTTGTGTCACCGGGTACATTTCAGTTCTGTTACTTTCTTTGGGTGGGGGGTTTGGGGGGCTTGACTTCACGGCTATTGGGCATTGGGAGTTCTGGACTTCTTGGTGTTTGGGCTTCGCAGCTTTTGCTTGGCTTTCTTGGAGAGGCTTGGTTGCCTTTGTGGTGCATGAAGCTTTTACGGGCTTTCCTATTACAAAATAAGGCCGAAGAGGTTTTCTTTCTTGGCAGATAGAGGCAATGGAGGATTCCCAAATGAAATACGGAGGACTACAGGTTGTTGTATTCAAAGTAGATGAAGTAGAGGTTCTCTTCTGAACAACGTGAGGAAGCAGAGGCTTTCGTGTTCAACAACAAAGGAGGATTTAGAGTATTCCTCTCAACATGAACAGGAAGATGTCTGCCGCTTCATGTTGAAACAGCAAACAAACGCCTGTGAAGTCCTCTGACTACTACCTGGGATGTTTTGCTTGCTCGGCCCATGCCCATGCCCAAAAGGACGACTTGCGTAGTGAAAAACGCCTTCCGATTCCTAATGCAGAACAGGACAAGTTCGTTCTCAAAGGGCAGCCTTGCACAGTGGACTTGTGCGTTTTTCCAACGAGAAGGAACATGCCCCCACTTTGAAGTTGCAAAAAGACCATGTTGGTTGAACCAAGAGGCAACAGTTCTTCAAAAACGCATGGACAGAGAGAGCTTAATGTGGCCCTCCCAACTAGTTTTTCAAGAAGAGTTTACTACGCCGAAGTAGTCTGATAAGATGAGGAGCCTTCACCAGACCAGATTGATGTTAGGTTTTCGATTTAAGGATGGGAGATTGTTTGTTTACGGACAAAATGTTCTTTTTTTCAGCAACGCCAAGAGCCAAGAGAAAGGGTTCTATGCATTGGTATGAAAGAGGTCATACTGCTAAGAAGAGCGTTCGCACGCGCAGAGTTTTTACATGCTTCAGTTGCAATCAATGTCAAAGAACCTCATTGCATTCTGATGCCACTCAAAACAACAAGAACACATTCACAGCTCAAATGCAGCTCTTGTGAAAGATCCACACCCAAGTCTAAACAAAGACCTGAAATTGTTTTGGGGTTTGGGGTTCCGGTGGTTGGAGAGCCAGGTGTCAGGTGCCCTGACGTTTGCGGAAAAAACCCCTGACGCTGTTCCGCCCCGGAGCCTTTGAAGTCCCTTTCTGCCCCACAACAGCAGCCGCTGCCACAACAGGAGAAGGGCAATCCGCCTGTCACCAAGGATGGTCGAGGCTATGGCTATGCCTAAATCTAGCTGCGCCATTGCTTGGGTCACTACAAGACGTTTCTTCTGTAGCTGGAATGCAGAAGCCCGCAGAAGCCCGCAGAAGAAGTCCAAACATCTCCAAACACTCCGTTACTGGTGCTTCTGGAGGCGACCTTATCATGCTCCTGGGAGCAGGTCGCGGCCACAGCGTTTGTTTTCATGTTTTTCTTTCTGTTCTCAGATTCTCAGAGATTCTCATCTGAGAGATTCTCAGGTTATCTGTTCTCGCTTAATGCTTCGTCTCGACCTCTCCTCAAAGTCTCCTCTCAGGACACAAGCATACACAACAATGCACACCATGCCCCGGGATCTCCCCGAACCATCCCGAGCCCAATGGCAATGACACA